GGGTATCAATCAGTTGCACCCATCAGGGCTTTTCTAGTAGGACTTTAGCAGGGCAGTGTCCTCTGCTCTGTAACCTGGAGCCCTCACAGCGGGCTGCACCCGTGATCAGTAGCTGCCACTGCAAAGCAGAATCCCTAGCCTAGGGCTGGGCTGCTTTAACGGAGTGAAACCAGCGGCCATTGCGAGAACAGTCCCTCCAGGTTCCCACACTTGTCCCCTTTTTGGCTAACAGGACACCCCAGCAAACCCAAGCAATAGAAGGCAAGGAGTCCTTCTGGGCCATGAATAAATGAGCAGGATGTTCCCAAGCCGCAGGCCACAGCCAGAGAGTCCTGTCCTTTGAATAGGCGCCATTTCCCAATTGTAGCATGCTGAGGACCAATGCAGTCATCAACCTGTGATCCGAGAAGCAGAGAAAACAGTGTGGCTACTTGATGTAGGCTGCATACACTGGAGTGTGCTCTCAGAGAACCCGCAGAGCCCCTGCCATAGCCACGGCCTCAACCTTGGGTCACCTCTGAAAGCCACAGGAGCCTCTGGACCCAAAGCACAGAACAGGCATCTTGTTCCCACCTGCAGAGAAGTAAGCAGGAATGAATGCCTTTGTGCCTTCCAAGGTGGCCTTTCCCTTGGCACTTGCCAGAGGCATGCAGTGTGTCTCCTCACCAGGAAAGCCACCCAGTCCCCTTTTCTCAAGTGTGTTCAGAATCATGACATACCGGGATGCATCTTGAGAGACGAAATGGACCCCTGTTGTGGCCCCTCCACACTGCTGCTTACTGCCCCCTTATAGACCCTGTTTACATCTGTGGCCCTATTGGCCGCCTGGAAGATTCAAGGGAGAGCTAGACTGATAGCACCTTCTAGAAGGAGCAAACGAGTGCTCTTTAGCCTTGATGTGTAGCTTTCTGGCCCTTGAGTTGGCAAGTGATGATGTCGAGTTGTCATGTTTTTTCTAGAGGAGGTCTGGGTAGGGAGCGGCATCAGACAGTGGGTGCTGTTGTTGTCCCCCCACCATCCATCCTCACACAGAGAAGTTTGAACAAACCCAGGAGCTAGGAAAAGGGATTCTGCAGTGGTCCAGATGCACACCAGTGGCACACTACTCTGGGGGAGCCATTTTTGCTCACCTGAAAAGCTGGAGCCACCGGATACAGTGATGCAGCTGGAGCTCACTGCCTTTTAGATATAGTGAAAGTATCCCTCAGCCTGGTACATGCTGGGCTTAGCCATGCCTTCCCAGATAGCTATGATGTCCCCTGGGGAATCCAGTGCACACAGGACAGGGCTGGGCCTGCTGCAGACACTGGCAAGCATTTGCTATCTGTACTTAGTTATCGTACCCATCCCTTCAGGAAAGCCGAATATCTTCCTGTTCTACCCAGTTCCCTTCTCTCTAAGGGGCCTGGGGAGGCTGAGAGGAAACCCATGTGCACTGGGACCAGGGCTCTTTGATGGCCTCACTGCCACTGCCAACACCATCAGGCCTCCTTGCTCCTCCTCCTCCGTTTCTTTTTCCTCTTCCGCTCCCTCCTCCTCACCCACCAAGACATCCTGAACCCTGCACCCCACACCCCAGAGTTAGGGTTCTCCTTTCTGGAACCCCCAGTGGAGGACCCCCACAAGGTTTCTGGGCTGTCATCCACTGACCACCAGCTTGTCCCAGCGGGTGACTCGGAAGTCAGTGCAGCTGTCTAGGCACTCACAGAGCACGTGTCCTAAGGAAGAGGCAGCTGAAGCTGCCCGCTGCCCGCTGGGCCTCGGTACCACCTGCTGCGGGCGCTTATTCCGTGGGTGCTCTGAGAACGAGCACCGCCAGCTCCTGTACTCGGGGTGCCGTCACCTTAGGGGCTCAGGCCACAACTGCCGCTGTCTGTGTCGCTGTGCCTGCCACTTCTGCTCCTGAGACCTGGGCCACTGCTCTTGCCTGGCGGTAAACTGCATCTATGACAGAAATCCAGGCCCACTTTGGGGGAGCACAAGCTGTGTATAGAAAGAGCAAGACTTACTGGGAGAGCTGGGGTTAGATTTGAGTGATGTCAAGTCATGCCGTGTTCTCAGGCAGGAAGATTATCATCATAAAGCTGTGAGCTTCTCCATGCGTATGTGGAAATTCAGTGTAAGTACAGTTGACTCCCAAAGGGACTGACCAAAGATTGTCCCATTTGTCTGTAACAGTTCAAGGCAAGGTGGTCAGGAAATATTTAAAAGCAAAGGGTAAAGAGGAAAGTCTGTGATCCTACCTATTAAAATATGACTTATAGTTGTGGAAATTCCAACATCATGATGCTGATCTAGAAAGTAGCCGTGTGGCTCAGTAGAGCATAGTAGATGGCCCCTGTGTCCTGCTCCTGTCTGCTGTAAGGCAGAGCCAGCGCCACACAGAGTGAATGGCAGGCAGGATTAGCCACTTTGTGTCTTGCATAGCAGCAGAAATCCAGTTCTGTCTGCCAAGGCAGAGTAAACTCCTTAAGACTGGACAAGTCACAGTACACAGTGAGGAGTTAGTCCTCTGGAAGGTTAACCCCCCTCCAGATTTATGGCTATTCATGAATTTAATTTAAATGCCAGGAACTTTGGGGCTGGGCATGACTCCACAGTTCAGAATACTTTTACTGCTTTTGCAGAGGCCTAGTTTCAGTTTCCGGCATCCAAACTGTGGCTCGCAAACAACTGTAACTTAGTCCCAGGGGTTCTGTGCCTTCTTCTGGCTTCTGTGGGCGCCTGAACACACATATGCACAAAAATAATAATAATTAAATGTGGGAAGGGAGGGGAGCCTTGGTTCAGAGACGATGACAACAGCACAGTCTTCTATAGGGTCCTAAAGAATGCAGGGATCCGGGATGGGAGGTGACCTCTGGTGCACTGAACCAGCAAAGCTGACCCTCACAGAAAATGTACAGCAGGCTCGAGAACTGTAAAAGGAGTCATGGCCTCTACTTGCCACCTCAGAGATGTTTACCCTAAAGAGAGACTCTCCAAATGACCCAAGGCCACTGTGAAGGATGCTGACGACTCTGGACTCCTCCATCTTCATCCTCCACCCAGATCAATCCCTCCGTGCCTGTTAATAAATAGACCATGAGGGTTTCTCAGTAAATGTATCTTACTAGAGGTTGTTGGGGGCATAGCAGACTGATAGTCTGGTCAAGAGTAGCTGCATGTGCCTTTAGAAGGCAGAGGCAGGGAGACCGGCACGGATTTGTGGTCAGCGTTGTCTACACAGTAGTGTTCCTAAAGAACAGAGGAACAGTTTCTGGAAAGATGGCGATGGCTTTGTGACACTCAAGAGCAGAGGCTGCCATGGCCTCAGTGTCTCTCCACAGGAAGGAGAGGCTAGTGACATAAGAGTGTGGCCATTAGATAGAAAGGCACTTCCTGACCTGCGCAACTGGGAACCGTGGCTGTGGTCAGCTGTTTGGGGATCAACACATACACTCTGACGGGAGCTGAAAGGCGGCTCTGCAGGGTTGAGCCGGGCTGAGCACTGGACATTAGCATAAGGCACCTGATTAAGGCGGTAAATGTCGTAACTAGTGATGCCACAGATGACAGACCTCCTCCCATATAGGCCGGTGTCAGCCAGGACACCGCAGATCAGCTACACTGGGTCACTACAGACTTTCTAATTGGTTGATTCTTGATACATTTTCAGATGAACCATATAAATATAAAATTACCTTTAGTTTTTTATTTGGGGGTGGTATAGTTGTTATTTTGGTTTGGCTTTCGTTGGGGAGGGTTGCTTTGTGTTGCGACACTGTCTCTCTGTGGCCTTCACACTCGCTACCGTGCACCTGGATGAAACTGCCATGTTTGTTGTCAAAGGTAAATGGATTTCTGCAGTTTCATGGGGTCAAACAATGTCGTAAATTCGTGCCCCTAAGCCCAGGAGTAGGTGAGAACTTGCTGTGTGTCTAGAGAAGAGATATGTTCCTACCTCCAAGGTTCTTACTCAGGAGCCCAGGTCAGGTAGGTACCTGGCTCTCCTTGAGTGTCTAACTCTGTCTCCACAGGCCCTGGTCCTTCACCAGCTGGGCCGCTATAGTCTAGCTGAGAAGATCCTCCGGGACGCAGTGCAGGTGAACTCGACAGCCCATGAGGTCTGGAATGGGCTGGGCGAGGTCCTCCAAGCTCAGGGCAACGACGCAGCAGCCACCGAGTGCTTCCTGACGGCCTTGGAGCTGGAGGCCAGCAGCCCTGCTGTACCCTTCACTGTCATCCCTCGAGTGCTCTGAAGGGCCACCCACCTCACCTGCCACACGGGCCCAGGATGCTCCGTCACCCAGTGAGTGGATCTGCAGTATCGAGGCCCTGGATGGATGTTTGACCACAGCGGAACCACGCCAACCTTGAATCATCGCTCTCCCCTCTTGCATTCATTCATTCTTGTCGTTTTTTGCCAGATTCATGATCATTTTCTGAATCTACCGATGTCATTCAAAATGGATTATGTGCCATATTCAGTTAGCTGTCACCCGAGTTTTAAGTAAGATGATTATGGACTTAATCAGCGAATGTAGAATATATTCCAGGTTACAATTCCGCGGCAGAAGGGATTATTTTTATCAGTGCTGTAATGAAAGCAACTGTCCTGTCCTCTGTCCCCTCCACCACCTCTCCTGCCCCTCCCTTGGCCCAACACCAAATGTGAATTTTCTGGTTCCCACCTCAGTACTCGTCCATGCCAGGACACCAGCTGACGACTTCTCGGTCTGTCGTCCACAGTTGTACCATGTGGTGAATTACTGTTCTCCTACTGTTCTCCTAGAGCAAAGCCTGAGTCTAAGAATATTTATATTTTACCAATATATGGCTGTTACAAGAGAAGGAAATATGAGTTATTTAAGTTTAACTTTTTTATGTGAATTCAGAGTTTATTTATCGATGGAAATATGTACAAAGAAGCTTCAAATGGAATATTTACCGACATTCCTTATACATGACAGACACTTGGCTAAACAGGAAGATGATGTTAATAAAAAAAATGATTTTTAAATGGACCCCTGGCTTTTGTGTTTCCCAAAGCTGGCAGACCAGAGAACAGCTGTTGGCTTATCTGTGGGGTGTAAACTCTCCCATTCCAGGGCCTGCCCTGGACGGTCTGCCTGGCCACAGGGAGGGTCCTCCACCATCTCCGCAGACAGCAGCTCTGGGTGAACTCTTTACGCCTTCCTTCCTGGCCTCTAGCTCCTCATTTGCATCCGTCTGTGTGTCAGGTCCCAGAGGCCCTGGGCTGTCTAGTCTGTTCTCCGACCTCCATGCCGTTCTCAGCTAAGGGCATTCACTTGTTCTCTCTTATTCATTCCTTCCTTCATGGGTGAGGAGTCCTAGAGAGGTCAAGACACTCACCTGGGGAACTACGTGGCCAAAAAGGGCATTGAATTGCGAGCCTGAGAGCTTTTGCTAGATTTCAAGGTCTGCCTGTGGAGAGGGGCTTTGGGGACTGGGCCATGTGCGAGATGCCCTAATTCCAGCAATGCTGACCATGACCTAGACAAGTCCTGAGGAAAAACAGACGAATGTAGACATAGTAGGGGGTGATGACAAAGCCAGGTCACGGGCGTAGTTGGGGACCATGCTGCCATCTCAGAGAAGGTAGCAGGGATGTGTTTCTTATAAAGAAACATAAGCTGAAGGAAGCTGGGTGGATCCATGAAGAAGGGACACCTCCCAGAACAGCTGAAGCCAAGGGCAGAGCCCAGAGGACACCCTGCCCTCAGAGCCCCCAGCACAGCCACACGAGGCTGGAATAAGTGACACACTGGCTGAAGGCCTGGGACAGTAAAGGGACCTCCTGAGAGGAGCCAGCCATGTGGCCTGCTGCCGCTCTTTGATGTCCTTCTCATGATGGGGAGCATTCCAACATCCTCTGCTTTCTAGATCTCAACCAGCTTCATTGTTGCCCCTCCCCCAACCACTTCTCAAGGCCAGGATGGAGGTTGTTCAATGCAGGGGTCTCTGTGTGGGTTGACGATGGCCTCCTCTGCTTCCCAGTCCTTTCTGGGGTCACCAGCAGTTGACAGGATGCCTGGGGCCTCAGAGACCCATGCATCCTGAACACACACACAGGCAGGGGAGCCAACGCTCGCTCAGCTCTTGCCAGTTTTTCTTCCCCACTAGTCACTCATTTCCTGCTGTTCCCACTCACACGTCACTATCACCGGATGGAAGCCGGAAAGAGACATCCTGCCAACATCCCATGCAGACACTGGGGCTTCCAAAAAGCCAGGCTGTGGCCCCCTCTGCAGGGGCTTGCCCTAGGAGGTCTCCCCGGTGATCCTGAGTCTCCCTCTCAGGGCTGTCTGCCAGATGGGGACAGCTGCCCCTCCCTGACCTGCTTCTGGGTTATGCTTTGAGTCAGCAGGCAGCTATCAGGAGTGTGGGGTACCAGGCAAGGAACACCAAGAATTCAACAGAGCTTCGGTGGGTGCAGGCAGGACTCCTCCCAGACACAGGTCCTGACTGGAGCTGGAGGCAAGAGGTGGCAGGAACGTGGTGGGCACTTTCTACAGGTCTGCCCCTCACCCCTACCAGGAGTCTCAGCTAGCCATCTGGCTGTCTACAATTTCTCCATATCCAATCTGCCATCTGGCCCCTCACATCCCCTGAAAATAATAGGATTCCCTAGCGACCACTGGGTAGCGGGTCACACAAACCTGGCTGGAATCCCAGCTCTGACTATTTATGTCACCTCTAAAGGAGAAGGGACCTTCATCTCCAGTCTCCAAGATGGAGGCAGTGACTTCGCCTCAGGACTGCTGGGCGTATTCGTAGAGACTAGTCCTCACACAGCCTGCTCTCCTGCCCAAGCCCTGTTCAGGGCTTCCCACTTTGTACAAGGCTGAAGGTGTTACCTGGGATATGCCAAAGGTGCCTTCTGTCCACTCCACAGATGGATTCACAGATGTGGAAGGAAGGTAAGTGCCACTCTCAGGAGACAGAGGCTATAGTGAGGGACAAGGTGAAAAAGTAGGTCACGTTTGACACAGAACCTGGCCCATTCTGTCCACCGATCTCATACCTCCTTGGCTTTCTTGGCCCCAAAGCATGCTTGAGTTCTGGGTTTTGCTGAGGTATGGGGACTCACCTGAGGCCCTGATCACAGCTGCCTGAGGCAGGGCCCTGAGAGCCAAGGGCTTGGGCTGTGGTGTCCTCTGGGCTGGGGTTTTCACACGGGTCTGCTCCCCAGCTCTGAGGAACCTCTCAGAGTCTGTTTCCTCACATGCCGTACGGGGAGAACAGATCTGTGCAAGAATTCAGAGTGAATACCGAACACAAGCATGTGACCGTCCTAGCAGGACAGTCTCCTCCAGTGGTGCAGTTACCTGCCTGCCCACGAACTGAGCCTGGCACACACGCACCCATACCCACACAGCTCCATGGGCCAAGAAGGAAAGAGAGTCCAAGCTGGGTCTCAGTCTCACCCCAACCCTGCTGACTCTCAGCTTCATCCTAGAACATATGGCTAACTGCCTGAAGATGGAGTTCCCCAAGTCTCCTGGCATGAACCCCATTTCAAATGGCAGTGAGGCCGTCCTTGTTCAGCCTCTGCGCCTGGAGCATCCTGTGTGGCAGACCCAGAGACCTGGACTGGGGAGCAAGGTGTCTGAACTGGGGGCTGGGAAGACATACAGCAAACCAGGGTGTGAACAGATGGCCACTAGATAGAGCTGCCAGGAGCGAGCTCAGGGGTGGACGGGGGTGCTTTACATCAGGGGGTTATGGGTGACAAGAAGGAACCTGTCATAGCCAAATCTGAGGTACTCTATCCTGAGTGCTTGACCAAAACGCTGGATGACTAGGCCCAAGCAGTCTGCACAAGAAAGACCTTCCCATCTTCAAATCGGCAGGGAGGACCCCACCTTGGAAAGAGAACCAAGCTTTTCCTAGAGGAGAAGACACAGTGCAAATCCCTCTAGTATATCCCTCTTGATATATGGTTGTCTAGAGCAAACTAATTTCAACCTTACCCCTAAAAACTGCACTAGCAAGATGGCAGTGCAGGGCTGAAGACCTAGGTCTGATCCCGCAGCATCCACGTGGTAGAAAGAGAGACTCAGCTCCCCAAGTTGTCCTCTGACCTCCAATGCACACTACAGCACACGTACCCGTGCACACAAATAATTAGACAGACAGACAGATGATAGATAGATAGATAGATAGATAGATAGATAGATAGATAGATAGATAG